GCCGATGGGATGACACACTTTAAGGAGCCGCGACTCAAAAGAAAGGTGGCACATTTTACAGGAATTGACGATTGGAGGCCTGACCTTCTGTTGTTGGAGCCAATGAGTAGGAAAAGGTCTCAAATCATGCGGATAGCAACAGTCAGCTGTCACATCCCTGCTGATCACAGCCGCGCTGCACAGAGATTATCTACGCCCGTGGCTACACAGCAGTCTGAAATATGCATTTGTGTGAGCAGAATCAAGCAAGCATACGAGTGCCACTTTCCTCTTTTCTTTTTTTTATTTCTTTGGTTTGTTTTCTTTCTTGGCTCTCCTATCACTGCGTCGATGTAAAACACATGGAGTTAATTTTGCCTTTTTTTCCCCCTTCCAAAGAAATTGCCCAAAGTCGCTCAAGCATTTGTTTCAACATCTGTCACTATTTTCACAGAGGGGGGATGGATTAGTTGTTAGAAGATGGGACTGTGTGCCTGCTGTTATTTTGAGAAGATACAGCCTGGTCCTATCTTTTTGCTTTAATTTCTCCTTTTCTAAAATGGTTCTGGTGACACTTACATAACTCACTAAACAGTGTGAGGCTGACTTAATAGACGGTTTCAGAGGGCTTTCATGTTTTGTCCTGAAAGATATCTATGCAGATATCAGACACCATGAGCTCTACTGTCAAATCCAACCTAGGCAGAAGCATACCAGCCAGCTGTTATGGTTGAAGCTGTTCCAGCTGTGGAGGGCTAAGGCATGCAAAATGTCTCCAAGTTAGGCAAAACAATCATTTTGAAGGATACCACGTGTGCCCTCCCTCTGACCGGTGCATAGAGGCAGAGACATTCCTCCCTCCCTCCATCTCTGACAAGTCCTGAGGAACTGTCAGGCTCTCTTGAATAGTGTCTCTGCTCAGCAATGCATTCACACATGAGGGACGGGATTTTATGGCCCCACAGCTGTTCTAAAGCAGTTCCAGACTTGATAACCGTAATGCTGCTGTGCTTGACTTTGGTAGGGCAAATACTTAGCAGATGTGGATGGAGTCATAGGAGCGTGTCCCACCTGAGGATCTTAGCTCTTCTGTCACTGTATCGGGATGAAGCTGTGTTTCACGCCTATTATCTCTTTTGGGACAGGTGGGAAAATTGACCAGCTGGCATGTACCCTGCCGAAGGAGCTGAAAGGGAAGGATATGCGAATGGTGCCCATGGAGATGTTTAACTACTGCTCCCAGCTGGATGATGAGAACAGCTCTACAGTGCTGGACAATACTGGCCCACCCTGCACTAAAGGAAGCCCAACTCCTTCCAAATCTAAATCGGGCCCAGAAACAGAGGTGGAGCCCAGTGTGGGATGCCCTCAGAAACAGCGATACAGGCCTGTGAGCGTGCGCCGGGCTATTGGCACTGTGATCATTGCAGGGGTGGTTTGCGGCATTGTTTGCATCATGATGGTGGTGGCGGCTGCTTATGGTTGCATCTACGCCTCCCTCATGGCCAAGTACCACCGGGAGCTGAAGAAGAGGCAGCCACTCATGGGTGACACAGAAGGTGAACATGAAGAGCAAAAACAAATCTCTTCCGTGGCGTGAAACTCTTCTAGGAAGGAAGGGACAGCAATGAACAAAGGTACCTGAGAGCAGTCAAGCATGGGGTCCTCCCAAAACACATCTCCCCAGACAGACAGACTGTGCTATTGCTCCACTCACCCAAGTAGTGCAACACGCTTCTGAGGGGTCAGGGCACCTGCCTCAACTTCTGTTCCTTGGCACCAGGCCCATTTTGTGCCCTTTCACCCTTAGGCCCTCCCAAACAAATAAAGTAGAGTCAGACCTCGAGTGCTTGCTGTGCCTCATGCCCTTGCACAGGCCTTCTCTGGCATGCCTGCTGTGGAGGCAGCTGGCACCTTGTGGGAACCTGTGTCATCCTCTCAGCTTCTGTCCTGAGTCATCCTGTATCCTGTCCAGGGCTCTCTGCAAACAGAGAGCAGCTCTGTGAAAGCTGACGTGGGGAGCAGGACACCAGAAGCATCCATGCCTCGCTGTGAGGGTCACTGCTGTTCTGTGACAGTAAGGTGGTGCCCACCCTACGCGTCACTGCTGCCGAGAGCACGTCAGAAGAGAGGAAAGGTCCCTAAGGGATGACAACAGTCAGGGGGAGATTTCCCTTCTCGCTTTGAAAGGTGGAAAGATACCTGTATCACTCGAACATGCTGCCAGGGAGCACAGTGCCCCTCTTTTTGCTCCCTGGCCTAGTCTAATTCTGTGAGCTGACACACACACGTCATCTGCTCTAGGTGCATAGGCACAGAGCCGTCCTCCCGCACACATACTGACTCATTCTGATCCCAACACACACACAGCATCAGCCCCAGCTCCAGGCATCCAGGCATCCACGGGCGCATGCAGAGCCACTGCTGACCTGTCCTCTGCATGCAGCCGCTTCACCTTACTCTCATCAACACAGTGCACAGCATCTTCTGCTTCGGACAAAATACATGCACCCTGCCGCGGAGGAGCCAACAAAAACATCTCAGCCGTAGTGCAGAGCCAGTGGGAATAGGCAGGAGAGGACGGAGAGAGGCAGTGTTATTAAGGTTACAGCATGAGTCTGTGGAAATAAGTGCACAGCATGAAAAAAAAATGGTGTGTCCTTGTTATCTATTTTATATTTGCTATGAAAAACAGAGAGGGAAAGTATATGAAGCCTCCATTTGGAAATGTTTGGTGGGCAGAGCAGAAGCGGGTCATCAGGAAAGACTGGAGGAGGAGGTGGCTTACCAGCCTCAGCAGCATAAGCCATGCTGAGGAGCAGTGTGAGCCTAGGGGAAGGTGGCAGGAGAGGGCAACACACAACTCAAGAGCTGGCGTGGCTGGCAGAGGGGCAAGCTCGGTGTGTGGAGTAGGGTTATGCAGCTGGGGCGACTGAAAAGAGGGCACAGACTTCTGGAAAGTCTTGAGGTGAAGGCTGAGACCTGGACCATGGCATGGCACAGGTGGGAGAGCCCAGGAAGGGTCTGACACAGCCCACGTACGCTCCCCTCACCATCACTGCTGTGTTCACTGCCACCCACTGCCGCACACGAGTGTGCCCACGCACACAACTGCACACACTGCCACAGTCACATAGGGTGACCTCCCTCAGCTGGATTTTAAAGCCCTCAAACTGCAGTGCCTCCTATTAGTCTTAGCTCTTTCCGACCTGATGGGGAAAAATTAAAAAAAAAAAAAAAAGTGAGAGGGAAAAAAGAAAAGAGAAATGGAAAGAACAACATAAGGACTCATTTTGTATCACTGGAAGTGGGATAAAATGCTGTCTCCAGGGGAGAGCGCACATTGCCATGGTAACCTGCTCTAACCCGTCACAGTGGGTATTCCTGGGCGAGGAAGATGACACCGGAGGTCGTGCTTCCGCAGTGCCTGTGGATGGTGTGATCCCTGCCATCAGAAAACAAGCTGGCAGCCAGCCCAGCTCTGCAGGGCGTTTCACTAGCAACCTGTGTTCAGAGCCCAGCACGCATTGCAGGTGGACCCAGCCAGGGCACGTCACCTCTTTCCCCTGCTCCACCTGGATCCCGATGCCTTCAGATGTCCCACAGCCCTCCTGCTCACCGCTGCTGGATCCCTCTGGAAGCAATGCACCCTGGCTCCTCATTCCCTTCTGCTCCCAGGCAGGTGGTTGGACTGACCATGCCAAGTCTTTAATCAAAGCCTGGAGTGGCAAAATCCCTCCTGGCCCCCTCAGGGCCACCAGAGTCAAAGAGACAGGATGCTCTGGACTGTTTCAGCATGACTTCCCTTTGACACCAGGATGCATGGGATGGGACGATGTTCTTTGGGAAGCAGAAGACCAGGCTGCCCTGGAAGAAGGACTAGGAGAAACAGTCCACTCACAAATGTGTGGGCACATTGTACCCCCACTCCCAGCACACTGGCTCGTGGGGAAGAGGAGGAGGAGGGGGGAGCTGGCAAGATGTAAGGAGGAAGGGCTCTTCCCCCATGCACTGTATAGCAACTCCAACCACCCCATCTGCCGCAACCATAGCCTGCTCTGAGGGGCAGAACTGGTACACTGCAGACTCTGTATGTGTGTTACTGCTGCTCCACGCTCCCAGCAAGCCAGGACTACACACTGCCTGCTGGATCCAAACCTCTCCCCAACCTCCCTCTCAAGGGAATTTCTCCCTTTACCATACCGGACTCCGCTATCATACTTGAAATGGGACTTGAGTCAGAGCAGTATATTTCTAGATCTATATTTTACTTGCATCAAATAATGGTGAAACATTGCACAAAACAAATGGGATCTATATATGTGTGTGCGTGTGTGTGTGTGTGTGAGAGAGAGATTGTTTTTAAGGGGACAGACCAGAGAGAAAATGAATGGGAGGGAGGCAGGGGACAACGCAGGTGTTGGCAGGAGAGGAATCCTCCTGTCCCTGCACCTTCCCTGTGACATCCTCCTGTCCTGGCCGATTTTTCTTTATTGCTAATAATATTTTCTATATCTTGTGTTGTGGGGCTGATAACGACCTTGCCCATCCTTTCCTTTTTGTTTTAATTTATAAGGCAGAAGGCCTGGATTCATCTCAGCCCTAGACAAGGACTGCTATGTTTAGAAATCCACCCAGGAAAGATGGGAAAGGGGAGGAAGGAGAGTTGCTGAGAAACATGAAGGCTGGCTGCTATGGGGAGTCCCACTAGAAAGCAACTACTGTGCTTGGAAAGACAAGGACCTGTCCTCTTTAGCGCAGAGCAAAATAACAGGGTTCACTGGGGAGTGCCCTCCTTATACCACCACCTGCAAACAGGCTCGCACTCTGCTCCCTGACACACCTGGAAACACGCTGCCCTAGTGTGTCCGAGCTGCTGCACGGTCCACAGGCACTCCAGGGAACATGGCACCCTGCGTCGTCAGGAGCAAAGCTCTCCCATGGGACGCTGGATGCAGGACGAGACCCAGGGGTCCTTGTGTGCCCAGGCAAGGGGTTCCCTTGGTGTGTGGGGAACAGGGGCTCCCGTTCTCCCTGCAGGCACGGCTAGGCAGGGGTGGGGGGGAGGGGGAAGTCCCCCTGGACGCTCCCTTTGCTGTAGGCAGGCGTATGGATGCCACATGCAGGTGCCTGCCCTCAGGTCTTCTGGGCAAGCAGGTCCAACACATGTCAGGGCGATGCAGAGGCTGGCGGGGCCACCAGAAACACCCCTTCTGCTCCGCTCCCCCCGCTCCCCTTCCCCACACACCCACCTGTGGTACAGGCAGGCACATTCCTTGCAGGGAACAGATGGCACTTGTAATTTCTTTTTCTTTTTGTTACTGTTTGAGGGAGAGCAACAAGATTTTCTAAAATGATTGAATGGAGGTTTCTTTGGCATGAGACAGAAAATTTTTAAAGGTATATTATATTTCTGGCTTGTTGTTACAGAAGAATAATAAAGAATGTATTTTCCTATGCTCCTTCTTGTTTAAATGAGATCTCTGATAGTAACCTTCCTTCCATCCCCCCTGCAAAAGCAAATACTGCAGGGATACAGCCAGCCAAAGGAAAATCCCCCTGAATTCCCACATATGTGCCTTCTTCTCCGTACACAGCGTTTGAACTTGGAGTGGACATGCACATACCCACACACGCTCTTTCCGTGTAAGTCCCAGGCAAGCATGTGCCTGTCGGCGGGGTGAGGCTAAGCAGACGGTCAGCCAAGGTGAGACCCTACATCTAAAAGCACACACACACACAGGGCTCCAGGGACACAGCCAGACAAGGGCGATTGTGTAACAAGGATAAGATACTGTGGCAATCAGCTCATTACATAAAAGTAGAAAGGGCCAAATTAATCCCTAGTGTAAGAACACAGAAGCCAGTGGAGTTATATTCAGGTCAAATTTGATTCCTAAAGCTTTTTTTTTTTTTTTTAATTAGAGCATAATGTCCAATACAACTTCCAGCAACAAATAGTGAGCTGTGGGTTCCTACATGTCCAGATGCCTGACCCTCATGAGAAAAGTTATTTTGAAATGAATGGAAAACACTACCTGATCCTATCTCACCCCTAAATACACAAGCTGTCACCCCTAGAGCTAAAAGGGGGTGTCTCTCCACCAGCTGGTCACTGGCTAGGTCTAACACACAGCTAAGAAGTTTAAATTCCCCACTTCTTAACTTCCAGTGCTACGCTTACACAATTTGTCATGCACTCTACCTGTGAGTAAAAGCTCATCCTGGTGCCCGTGGAACCGCAAAAGGTGTTAAACCCCACCACAGGCAAACCCTTATGCCACTGTTATACTCTGATCTTCAGAGAGAAACTGGGAGCAGAACACAGATGATCTGATAACAGCTGAGGCATCTGTTCTGCTGAAAAGGTATGTGCCACCAGAGAACCACCATTAGTGTTTAACAGTGCGATGTCTACAACACAGTTTAATCTAATTTTGCCATGTAGGTAGAGGAGTGCACACAGATGCTACTGAGCAGTTCATACAATACCAGAAATGTAAAGCAGAAAAATCCCAAAGCCAACACACTCGTCCAATGACTGTAGGCTTTTTCAGTTCATGAATTATCTGGGAGTAGGCTGTGATTTTCTGCAATTTGACTAGCTTTCATTTGGGAAATGTCTTTGCCCTGTATACCTATCTACTCACACACACGTAACTCCATATATGTAAACACATAATGCTGTATATGCATATATAATACGTGTAAAATGCATAAAATATAATTCCTCCTCACTATCTTGTTTATCAGCAGCTTACTGTGCTAGCTTGAACAGTGTTTGCTAGTACTGATTGGAAGCACAGGTCAGAGGGTCAGCTTCTATCCTCCGATTAGATAAGGGCA